CTACTGCTGACATCTGGTCAGTCAATAGAAAAAGCAGCATTACTGTGCATTATATTGAAATGCCACTAGATGATTCTAGTTCGGTTTCACGAGCATCTGTATCCCTTGTTTGCTGTTGATGTTATCGTAGTCACACATATGACAAAATTGCTGTACTGATTTCTAAAATTCAAAGTCAATATGAACTTAACGTAGAAAAAAACTCAGCAATTGTCACCGACAATGCGTCTGTCAACTACAAGTGCTGTAGCAACTAATCTTTAAAGAGCAAAAGGACATGGAAGAAGATGAAGTTAATGAGGATGAAGTTAATAAGGATGAAATTGATGTAATTAATATTGAGACATTCTTTCAGTTTTACCGGAACATAATGATGATGATGATGAGTCCATAGCCAAGAGCATTTCTTTGCCATCTCATGAGACGCGTATCAGCCATTCACTGAATCTATTGGGAACTAATGATGCTAAGAAGGCATGTGATACAGACAGTATGTTTAAGCGTACCTACAGTGCAGGTCTGGCAAAATGCACTTTAATATGAAATGCAACTTGACAAAGTAGTAAAGCATCAGATGCTGTGTCAAGTATTACAGACGAAGAAATATACTCTGTCCTGTGGCAACACGTCGGAATTCTCAGTATGATGCTACCAGGCGATTACTTGATTTTCTCTTCTTTGAGCTACTTGCTTTTATTCAATTGATAAAGAACTCTTTTTTCTTCGAGTCATTTGTATTGGAAAACACATCCAGAGATTTTCTTTTTTTCTTCTTTAACATTTCAATGTTTTCAACGCATGTTAATTGCGCAAAATGAAGTTTTGTGTGAGTTAAGTTTGAAATCTTCTTCGGATAGGTAACATTTGTTCTTAGGAAAATTTGTAAATTGATGTATTCTCTGAATAAGACAGAAAACGATAAATAACGAAATCACTTTTTGTAAGCATTTATCCAACTTTCTTGAATTAAATGAGCTTTTGATTTTGGATATAATTAATGGTACTGGTCCTACCTATACCTATAAACATAAAACGCTGAATAACTCATCTTACATCAATCACGTTGCAGTCTTAAAAGAATTATCAATATGCTTTACTAATCGCCATGTTATTCCTTCTTTTCATCTAAACATGAGTGATCACTTGCCCATCACTAAAAATATTAATCTTCAAAAAAAGTCTAACGCCAGTTCTAAATAGTATTCTTTAAAAATGTAATACAATCTCAAAGTATGCATGGAATGATAATAACTTTATTAAAATTTCATAATCAGAATCTCTATTTATTGGAGAAGAAATAGAGAAACAATCTCAAACAACATGCGAAAAAATAAAAAATGCTACTATTTTAGCAATAGAAAACTGTTTCCAAAAAAAAGAAAAAGGAATTTACTCTAAATCATGGTGGACACCAGAAATTAAATTTTCACTTTATGGAATAAAAAAAAAATATAACTACATCAGGCCACAGGAATGTATTTCATTTAATAAATACAAGCTAGCTTGTAAAAATTTCCACAAAATTGTAAAAGCAGCTCATAACTTAAAAATTAATAAGATCACCAAAAATATTGAATACCTTCGAAAATGTAATCCGCAAACGTTTTAGAACAATATCCGAAGAATAAAATAAAATCCAAACACATGTATTTTCACTATTAACAAAAAACAAGATAAAAAAGAAATTATAGAAAAATTTAGACAAAACTTTTGTACCATTCTCAACACTCACACAATTACCAACAACAATTACAAACACCGTCATATTCCACAACTCATAGATGAGCCTAATAAAATACTCTTATCAACTTCCGATATCGAAACTTGTATTCTTAAGTTCAGATCTAATAAATCACGTAATTCCTGCGGAATAACTGCAGAAGATATTAAATACTCTTATAACAACAACCTACTTACATGGCTTTTAAAGTTTTTTAACAATATTTACAATAATGGAGCGGTGCCGGAGTACCTATCAACATTCATATTTGTTCCAATAGTAAAATCCTATAAAAAATCTCTTGATAACCCCGATAACTATCGCAAAACTAGTATCATGTCTGTTTTAACAAAGCTCTTTAAATATATTATTATGGAAAAATGTCCGAAAATATCAGATAGCCACTATCATCAATTTGGTTTCAAGCACAATAGCTCCACACTTCATGCAGAGTTCCTTTCAAACAAATCAATAAAATATTACAATAATAATAACTCATCAATATATATTTTTAGTTTAGATGCAAAGGCTTTCGGTAGTTGTAACTGGGATGTGTTGTTTGAAAAACTTTATTACAACAAACTGTTACCACTACCAGTAGTTCGCGTACTACAATCACTATACTTATCTGGTACTGCTAATATATCGTACCTTGGGAATAAATCAAATCATTTCCGTTTGTCTCAAGGCGTGCGACAAGGATCAATTTTATCACCGCATTGATATAATATATACACTAAAAGTATAATACTTTACAATAATACAGTGATAATATATCAAACTAAACACTGAAAAAACCGACTTTATTATATCCGGTAAAAGTTCAACTACAAAAAACACAATTCAAATAAACGGCTCTTTCTTACACCTCAATAAAAAACTGAAACACCTCGGATTCCTTGGGATAGACTTTAGACTGAAATTAAAAACTATTAGTTTTATTGTTTGTTTGTTTTACCTGTTATTTGGGTGATAAAAAGGATAAATAAATAAACATAACCAAAATATGTCTTTTCACTTGCTTTTTTACAAAACAAAATTTATTACAAAACTAAATATGTATTAAACTAAATTGGAATAAAATTGGACCATTGTGACCTGTTTCACCCCAATTCTCCTGTCCTCAAATCACCTCACCAGTAGTTGTGAGAAAATTTTTTATTATATTTTTTCTTATCCAAATACTAACAATATTTTTTTGGTAAATAAACGAGACAATAAAGATTTAATTAAAACGAAAATGAATAAAATAGTAGCATAGATAAATATTTAACAGACAACACAAAAATATTAACTATTATTGATGTCTTTAACATGCAGGAAACTTGTTAGACTTATATTTTACAATATTATTGAGTAGTAATTGTAAACTCATAACAAATATATAAAAACTTTTTGCGTTATCAATATTTCTGCTGAGATAGTGCTCTGTCCCATTTCATCCCATCTCTCCTTGTTTTTCTCTACTTTTTTTAGTTTTAAGTCAATTTTTGTATTATTTTTATAACGTTTTTGCAGTAACTTAAAGTTGAACAATTTTTCAAAAGTGAAATTAAATAGATGTCATTTTCCTCCATCTTGAAGAAAAAATCTGAAATAAAATATTAAATAGTTTTTAATATAAGAAAGTTTTAGTTTTAAACTTATTGAGAGCAACTAGTCGAGAGAAAAATTATTTTACAAAAAAATACCATGATTTTATGATAATTTTGGATAAATTGATTTTTTTTAAATCACAGTATCTTTTTTTTAGATTACCGATTATCTATTATTTTTAGATCACACAGTATTTTTTTTTTAGATTACAAATCATCTATTATTTTTAGATCACGCAGTATCTTTTTTTAAGAATACAGATGCTCAACTATTTTTAGCTCACCCAGTATATTTTTTTTAGATTAAAGATCATCTATTATTTTTAGATGACACGGTACCTTTTTTTCAGATTACACAGTATCTATTATATTTAGATCACACAGTAAAGACATTGAGATTTTACTTTAAATAGCTGTAAAACAAACTACAATTTTAAAGTAACCTTATAATTTTTTTATTTGATAAAAATACAATTCTTTTCAAATCTATTATTTAAAAAGTTGCACATCTTTTAATTGATTTATTGCATGACACACATAATTTACTAAATTGTAAATAATGCTAATTTATGAAATTCTTTTGGGTTAGATTATTTAAGAACATGCGGGTGTGCCCCCGTCTTTGTGTTATTCAAGATAAGTAACTTATAAGCATAGAGTGTTTTTAAATTTTTATTACGTTGATACATATTAAAAATTTAAACAAAAATTATGAATCGAAAATAAACTGTAAAAAGTTAGGAAATCGGAGCATACCAAACCCTATAGCGACCCCTATTTATCCATTGTTACCGAAAGTAGGAAAAAAACTATTTTTTACTAGATAAAAAGGTAAAAAAAATTTTTCACTAAATTGAAATTGAATCGAATTTATACTACAATAAAATAATAAAATAGAAAATAACCACCAACTGGGAAAACACCAAACGGGAAATAACCATTAACTCTAACCATAAACTATAATAACCACTAACTCTAACCATAAACTTTAGTAAGATCAAATTTAAAATAAAAAAAGATTTTAGAAAACCCACCCCAGGGGCTATTCGCGTTCAAGATGTTTTTGAGATATTCTAATGCTAACTAATCCGGATTAGTTATATAGGAAATTAAAACTTGAAAACCAATAAAACGTAACCCTTTACTTTCAGAATAACCCAAGAAATATATTTTTTTTACACATCGTTTATCTCTTTGTTTCTTTTCTATTACAAATATGTTTCCTTACAAATGCATAAGTAAAATTAATTAACAATGCAACGGCAGTAGTCAATTTAAAAAAAACGGCATTAGTCAAAATATATAATAGTCTAAATAAAACGTTAAAGAAGATTAAAGTTTTGGGACTAAAAAACAGTTAAATAATAATTGCAAACCGAAACTTTATTTTAGAACGGATTATGTACTGAAAATTAAATAAAAAATTTTTAAATAATAAAAATGTGCTATATATATATATATATATATATATATATATATATATATATATATAATATATATATATATATATATATATATATATATATATTATATATATATATATATATATATATATATATATATATATATATGTATATATATATATATATATATATATAAACCAAAAAATAACCAAAAAAAAGTTATTAAAAAAAAAAAAAAAAACAGACAAACAAAAAAAAATGAAACTCTTTCGACGTCTTTTATTCGATGCACGTTTTTTATTCGATTAAAGCCGAAGTTTTCTAAAAACATCGGAAGTTTCATTAAGGATCCATCTATAATAGAGAAACACAAAATAAAAAAAAAACTTTACCGAAGTTTAAAACGATTCCTTCAAAATGCTGCTGTAAAACTAATTAAACATTACCTTGATCGACACCGAACTGTTTCTCTCTTTATTAAAATCTACTGATAGAGTTGAAGTTGGTTCGACTTTGTACTTTTTCTTATCCGACTCGCTGAGCCCTTGTTCAGAAATGCTGTCTAAAAGTCTGCTCATTGTTTCACGTCTTTTAATTTTAGCTTTATCCATGGCTTCTAACTTTAAAAGTACAGAGTCGACTTTGGAAACTACGTTTCCGATACTATGCTCAACACGATCAACACGTCTTGCCAAACTTAAAACAAAAAATATTCTTATCATATCACGAATTATATATACGCTATTAAAAATATTCAAGTCAATAATTTTAGTAAAAAAATAAACACCTAACAAATTCAAGTATACAACAAATATTCAATAATTTATATAAATTTCGATATATATATATATATATATATATATATATATATATATATATATATATATATATATAATACATATATATATATATATATATATATATATATATATATATATATATATATATATATATATATATACACACATATATATATATATACATATATATATATATATATATATATATATATATATATATATATATATATATATATATATATATATATATATATATAAATATATATATATATACATATATATATATATATATATACATATATATATATATATATACATATATATATATATATATATATATATATATATATATATATATATATATATATATATATATATATATATATATATATATATATATATATATATATATATATATATACATATATATACATATATATACAGCATATATATATATATATATATATATATATATATATATATATATATATATGCTGTATATATATATATATACAGCATATATATATATATATACACATATATGCTGTATATATATAAATGCTGTGTATATATATGATATATAAATATATATATATATATATATATATATATATATATATATATATATATATATATATATATATATAATATATATAATATATATATATATATATATATATATATATATATATATATATATATATATATATATATATATATATATATATATATATATATAATGAAAAAATTTTTTTTTCTCTGATTGGAATGCAAACTAGTTTATTTTGTGCCATTTGGCATTAAAATTTACTGTGCAAAAGATAATTAAAATAAATTAATGTTTAGAGGTTGCTCAATGGCCTTTTAGTTTTACAATAATAGCATTACGCCTTAAATAATTTTCTAATTTTATCCCATGTTCAATTTAGATAAAATATTAAACAAATTTGATGTACCATTGTCTTTGATGAGCTAACTTCTTCGGTCATTTGACAAGCAGCCATCTTTTATCTGATGTCATCTGATGTTTTTGTCATCTGTCATCTGATGTCATCTGATGTTTTAGATTGAAAAACATTTTCATTAATTGTAATTTTTTGCTGAACAACTGAAATATTTAAAGATTTTGAGGTTCTTATTTATTTTAATCCTATAAAATAATAATTATAACTGTTATGCCAATATCTTGTTTTTTAGTGCTAAATATTATTGGGTGACTTAACTAACTTTAGTGTTTGTAGTTTTGTAATACTTATGATTTCATCACATTCATATTGAAATATTGATCACATATTTTAAATCATGTTTGCAAATTAATATTTAATTTCTCGAGTTGAGTTTAATTTGGTATCATTTAATTTTAGCTTGTTGCTGAAAATGAGTGAAAAGATAAGTTTTTCAAATTTTCCTTTGACACATAATCGAACTGCAATATGGTTGATTGGTCAACCTAAGAAGAATCTACCAAACAATGTCCTTCCAACAATGGTTGATGTGTTAAGGACGTTTTTTCACTATCACAAAGCATTGAAACAAACAGTTCCAGCCAGTGCAAAAGCAACATCTAATGGTTTAGCTCACATCTGGAAAAAAGCCAGAATTCCAATGACTTACCAATCTCATATTGTATCAAAAGTGAAAAAATGTGTTAATGAATATAATTTAATTAAAAAGAATAAAGGAAGAGCTAGTAAATCACAGATTTCTAGAGAGAAAGATTTTAGTATCAAATTAGATTTACTGTTTGACATTTCACACAAGGATGCAAACAAGCTAATTAAAATTGATGAAGATAAAATATTTCTGGAAGACCAAAAGAATGCTCGTATGATGAAGATGGCTGGAGAAGATGTAAAATTATCTCAACAAGAAAAGCAAACAGCAAAGCGTCAACAAGCATAAATAAAAAGAAAGCAGAATGAGGAAGAGAGAAGACAACAAGCAAATGCTGTCCTTACCCCAAGCTGTAGTCACTTTAGTCTTGATTGTGATAGTGATGGCGAAGCAACAGAAGTCAGTGACATTTCTGATGACAATGATGATTATGAAATAGAAATTCTGGTTTATCACAAAAAACTAGTAATCTAATCAACTGACTGTGAACAAAGTCCTAAAAATAAAAAGCCACATATTCTCAATGAAATTTTGTCTTCTCCACATGTATCATCCACATTTGATCGAATCAATTTATCTGACCAAAAATTCACTATATTGGCAGCTGCAATTGCTAGAGCAAGCGGAGAGGACCTCTAAAGTACACCATTATCAAGATCAACAGTCCGCCGCAAACGCATCATCCACTGTTCTTCAACTGAAAATCATATTTGGCTAAAATTTATGTCAAGTGAGAAACAACATATGGTCATCCACTGGGATGGTAAGATGATGAGAGACAACACTAACTATGAAAATACAAAGAAAAAAAAAATAGAATTACTATTGATGTGACTGGTCGTAATCTGGAGAAAATACTGGGTATTGTAAAGATATCATCTGGCACTAGACTGGCACAAGCAAAAGCAACCTTCCAGTTACTGACCATATGGAATGTTGCAAATTATATTGTCGGTATGTGTTTTGACACAACAGCGTCAAACATGGGTTCCAAAAATGGTGCTTGCATCTTGCTA